TCGTCCCTTGCACATCTATACGGTTTCAGGGAAAGAATATTAGGACGAACAATTGATTCTAAAGAAAAAGATTTTGACATTTAAAAAATTTGAGCTCCGCCCTTTTGGTTGAGACTATTTATTTCTGTTAAACCCATCACAGTAACCAATATGATAATTAACATGATCTTTTAGATTATCGTTAATCGGGTGGCTTAAATATGCTTAGATAACGGAACAGCAAATTTTAAAAAAATCGCGGATTTAATGAATAAAAATCCTGGTTCGTATGTGTATAAGCGGGAACTTCATTCCGTTAAAACTAGACGGCCCAAGATATTGTCAATAGCCTACTATCGCTTTAGTCTATAAAAGTGTTTACATATGAAATTTTTATATTATTTTTTCGATTTAACTTTATAAAGTTGAGGTATTGGGACAAGACGGGACGTCCCGGGACGGGACAGTCAAAAATACACAGCACTGCTTAGATAGTGCTTAGACATAAGTATCAATTTTCGTGAAAGTACGGATCTTATTTTTTTTTTTTTAAAAAAATGACGTCCAAGCTATCTTCCTTAAAGCTACCCTCCTTCAAGCTACCGTCTAAAAAAGTAATGGCTTTTTTTGGCACTTGTATTGTTATATCTGGTTTCATTTATCGTGACAATGTGTTATCAAAAGAAAGGAAACAACTTGTTGAACGAAAAGTTGCGCATATAGCTTTAGAACCTATGAGCGTACACGAGCTCCCACGTAAAGTAACAGTATATTTAGCACCACCACTAGGTGATGGAATACATAAAACAAGAGTTCATTTTCGAGATTATGTTAAGGTGAAGATCGCTATTATATAATATAAAATTTATTTTATTTTCTTTTTCTTTTTTAACAAAACACTTACCTAATTAGATAGTTATAAATGAAAATCATTGGATTATTATTGTTTATATTCTCAATTATAAATTTACTTCCTGAAATAGCCAGCCCTTGTTGCTGCAGCAATGGAATATGAGCTTATTGAAGGCACGAAACCGGGGCAACTTCGTTCAAAAGTACGAGATGCGATAATAGAAAAGCGTAAAGCTGCAAAAGCATCAATTCCAAATGATATCGATACAAATCAAGAACCGCGTTTATTAAATAAAGCAGTTGGCGATGGTGTCATTGTTATTGGTCGGGTTAGTTTTGTTGAATATTTACAAGGGTTAAATGATGGATGTATTTCTTCGCTTACGAATTCTCAAGAAACGATATCAAATGAAAAAGGCGATATGGAAACGCATAATAATATCAATGATTCAATGTCATTAACCACAGGGTCTGAGAATATAATGCCCGATTCACAGGTGGTTGAACAAGATGAATTTTCT